TTATCAAAACATCACACTTATAAAATAAAGAAGTTGTTATCCATAAAGTTTGTTCAATACAAATAAAAACACTTCTATCTTTTTGTACTTCAGAGCAGCCACATATTACCTCGAGAGGTTAACCGGAATGCAAATCAACAGAATATGATGCTGACCAAGTACCAGGAAGAGGTGTCCCCATCACTGTAGATGACAAGTGATGACAGTTATCTTGATGGACTACAGGAATGATTCAAGTGCATTCATTATGCAGTTTACTGATTTGTTTGATGTATTTTGATAAATGTTCTGGCATTCTGATGTCAGCTGAGTAACACCTCCATAGTGGAGACAAATTAATGTTAAGGAACTTCTGTTTTGAAGCAGTAAAATAGTCTCAGCAAGAATTTTTATTTATTTTGCCAGCAGAACAGAAGTTTCCATTAATTTTCCCACACAAACATTTTGTGCTTTTCTGTTACCCATTTGTGCTTATTGTCCTGCTGAACAATTGTACCACCTTTTCAGTGACATTTTTTTTACACTGCATGACAATGTGGTTTATAAGTATGATTTGATATAGTTTGATGGTTTGATAGTAGTAGATGTGGCATGTAGTAAACAATGGAATAGTAAAGTTATGCCATATTTCTTGTATTTCATGATACTGGCTGTTATATTACTTTTGTGATAGTTAGTACTTAATTAAGGCTGCACATACTGGCAACTAAGTCTCTGCATGTCTGCCATGGAAGGCATGTAAAACTGTTGCCCTTTGCCAGAACGAAGAAAGTTTTATATGTGTAATTCATGATATGTGAATAATGTCTGACATGTGATGTTACATCTAAATATTTAATGTGTATGCTGTTAGTCTTAGAAAAAAGAAAATTACCCCATCTTGAAATATTCAGCTTTGTCAGTTTTTGTTGCTCCAGATTTTGCCATATTTTGTTTCTGGAGGACATTTTGTAAAATGTAGTTACCTATCATGAGTTCATACCAAATCATTTGATAAAGGTAATAATTTATAAACAAGATGTGCAGCCCAGTGAAACAGTGTTTTTTCCGTAATGACTACAACACAAAGATTAATGAGATTATTCTTCATTAGTCCCGGGGAATTGTTTTGGTAAAATGTTCATGTCACAAGACAACACAGGTTCTAAGAAGGAATTCACACATGCATAATTAAACATGACATGTGCCTTCTTCTTTCAAATGGATACCCTGTTCTTTGAAGGTTTTGGTCATGATCATTAAAGTTGATGTCAGTGTTCATGTAGCTGTAAAACATGTTTCACTTATTATTACTACTCATATATGATGCAAGGTATTCCTTATTTTCATGTCTGGTTATAATTACTGCCATGTTTAATGTTAGTGCTATGTCAACATTCAAGGTGACATTCGAGGTGATTGTGAGTGAGTATGGTTTTACACCACTTTGAGCAATGTTCCAGCAATATCACGACGGGGGACACCAGAAATGGGCTGTACCCATGTGGGGAATCAAAACAGGGTCTTCAGGGTGATGAGCGAACATTTTAACCACTAGCTATAGGCTAAACCACACACATTATTATTCTTGTAACACTTGAAAATACTTTAAGGAATGGGGTGTAGGGGATGCTTCTGTTTATGAAAATATTTTCAAATAGCTACCTTGGTTTGTTTACTAGTTTATATTTTCACAAATATGATGGGTGTAATATTCAGTGCCATATACATGTAACCTCCACGTATTTACACATTTCACGTTTATGAGCCAATGGCATTACTTCAATTATTTGTAAGAGTCTTTTCAACAGACATAAAGATATGTGTGTGAACCAACTTAATGAGTTCGGTACTACATATAATTACATTTCATAGTATTCTAGCCTGTCCCATTTCAAGACAGGCTGCTCTGTATTTTAGTAATAAAACATCTTTAACAAAACTCATTTCTTTTTGTCATTTTATGGGGAAATCTGACAAAGGTCAGTTTTTATCTGGTCAGCTGATGCTCTACAACATTTCTGAATACACAAACAACTAACACCAGGATTTGATGGATGTCTATACTTGGACAGAAAATGTCCACTGTGACATGTTCACCTTGCACATGCTTGTCTATGTTCAGCTGCATAAACTTATGTGACACCACAGGCATTGGTTTGACTCCCTACCCCAATGCAAATATATAAAGTTGATGCCCTTGATTGGGATGCGACTGGTATGATACTGATAGAGGCATCATAACCAACTATCTCTCATTTCACACTATTTCAAAGATGTCCCAAATGTTTAAACTTCTGATATCTTAAATTCTTCTGAGGACAAAAATATGTAAAACAAGAAATACATTGGTCAGGCCTTATTGATAAAGAACATGGCACATAACCCAAGAATTGATTACCAAACACCAAATTCAGTTTCAACAGGGAAGACCTGCAGACAACCCTCCACCCTGCTAAAAGACTGAGTATGGGTTTACACCACTTTTAGCAATATTCCAATATTATGGCGGAAGACACCAGAAATGGACTTGAAACATTGTACCGATGTGGGGAATCGAACCGGGCCTTCGGCATGATGAGAGAACACTTTAACCACTAGGCTACCCCCATCCCAGCTAATAGAGTAGAATTCACACTCTCTCAAATTTTCTAAAGTTACACACTCACCCTGTGTGCATAGTGGTAACAAAACAGGCTCTGTCATGACGAAGATGTATTATATTTTATTTATTCTACAGTTTAGGAATGTACTGATTGATTAAAGTAAAGTGCAATTATGACTTGACAGATTGATCAACAATCATCTAGAATGTGGGTGACACATAACACTCCCTTCCTCTGTCAAACTCTTTGAGACAATGATACATAACTGAGAGGGAGAGAGAGAGAGAGAGAGGTGTCATCAATTTTGTATACATGCACTTGGTGTGTTTTCATGAAGGAAGAGGGGTAGGGTGGGACTGTTATTCACATTGTACGTGCTTCTCCATAAAAATCATCATCACTCGATCCCAGCCCAGCTATACATTATGAACGGTCCCTTGCAAATTTTCAATCGAACTTTTAACAAACATTTGAATATTGCTATATTTTCTTTAATATTTATAAATGGAGTGCAGAGAAAGGGACAGCCAGGTGTTAGAGAAGCACGTGCACAAGTGCCCACCAAGTTATTGATTCATTAGCCTGTGCTGTGCTGTGCTGTCTCCATCCTTTCTCGCACACCTGGCTGTCCCTTTCTCTGCACTCCTCCCTCGTAACAAATAGTGAACTGTGTCAAAATTTTAATGATAGTTTCTTAAAGAACTTGTTTGGTGGAGTCCGGAAAATTTTCAAATATTAGAAAGCTGTTGGGTATTAGTAAATGATAAACATGTGTACTATTTTTATTTATGTGGCAATTTTGTACAATGATAAAATTTGCAATTCATCGGTCCGTTTCTGACTCAAACGGACTATAGTTATAACAATCTACAACTTCTAAAACTTCATCACCGCATTTAAATTGATACAAAGACCTACCCACAGAAGGTGCTATAAAATGTAGAACTTTAGATTTTAAACCATCTACTGACATATTGTTTAAAACACACCATGACTGACGACAGTCTAACAATACATTTAAATCACTTTCACTTTCTGCTAGCAAACCAACATAATCCACATAGACTGAATACCAACTTTAACGTTATCAACATTTACTCCTTGTGATAAGTGATCAACAGCAGTGATAAGATCATTAATGTACAGGTTAAAAAGACTTGGTGATAATAGACAGCCTTGTTTTAAACCACCATTTACATCAAACCAGGGTGTATAGAGCCCGTTAAGCGAACACAACACTGAACATTGTTATACAGGGAAATTAAAGCTTGGTACATATTGCCCTTTACGTCGGCATGTAACACTTTTTTCCATAACAAGTTCCTCAATGCAGTTGTACGCCTTTTTGAAATCCACAAAGGCAGTGAAAGTAGATTTGCGGAGAGATTTCCTTGTTTTGATGATAGATGTAAGGCTGGATAAATGTTCAGTTGATATATTTATAAACGTATCGCAAAAGCTGTTGCTAGTTCTGTCAATAGGGCTTAAGGTTTATTGTTAATTAAGTATAAATTGTTAGGTGGTATGAACTACCACACATACTAAAGTATTATTTAATAACTTGTGGTATATTAATGAACTGGTCATCGTGAATAATGTTTTTATCTTAAACATTATCTTTAGTAAATCTATTGCTTAATATTGTTTAATATACTACAGTGAAGTTTATAAGTGGCACTCGCCAGTGTGATTCCTCTATAGGCCAGTGGGTCCCTTGGGTCGCCACCCGACTTGGGTCTGGGGGAGATTATTCCTTTTCCCCAAACGCTGGGTACAGCACCAGATTTGAAACGCATATTAAACACTTTATGTGGGAATAAACAGCAGTTCTTATTCTTTAAACCTTCCACTGGGATGTTACCATAACCCGATGATGTGCCTCGTTTGGCGTCCATGATAACTCTCCGCACTTCCCGTATAGTTACAAAAGAGTTCATGGGTGAGCTCTCACTCTCACTACAGTCTGGAGTGGTAACTGTGCGCTTGACGGGGAGGTCAACCCCTGCAAGGAAACCGACAGGACTGGGATGTTTTTCCTTCGTCTGCTGAGAGGTTGTTGTGAATTTAAGTCAGTCTGCAGTTTTGATGTACATGTATCTACATTGTATATTCGATGAGTTCAGAGCTGTTGTTTGTGGATGTGAATGATGGATTGTTGAGTTATTTTGATGAGGCAGTGGTCACTGTCCCATGTGTCATTTACTTCCCATATGCACGAATTTGCAAGTTTAGTAGTAATAAGGGAGATATCTATAGCAGAAGGCGAGTGAATGCGAGAGGGGATAGCGAGTGGGCTGATAGTCGTTTAAGGAGATAACGTCAGTCGGACAGAAGCTGCCATTATAATCGGTAAAGGGTTTTGTACCCCATAGTGGATGATGACCATTACGATCTCCGAGTATAAAAGTGTTGGGACTTAAGAATTTAGAAAGAATGTCTAAATCCGGGACTGAAGGTCTTCTGTAAGCATTTATGATGGTAGGTTCTTGGATCAGTTATGATACTTGTGATAGCAAGGACTTCTAGGTGCTGAGTCAGGATTTTGAGAGATTACACGAATTTGAAACTATAGATTCACAACTTACAAGTTCCCTATTTTCCCCAGAAGTTCATTTTAAGTTAATTTAGCGTTTACTTTCTATAATTGTTACATAAGTCTATTCACTTTTAACAGCAACGTTTAATATTAGAACATTTTAGATTTATAGTGTTAACATATTGCTAATAAAACACTATTAACAGCGTCTTTCTGTCTGTGGCTGTTGCGTTGTTCACTCCATCTTCAACCAGTTTTTGCTTGCTGCGCTCACCAGTGTTCTAGCTATACGACGCAGAGGCGGATACAGC